GAATCTGGAAAAGGTAGTGCATGTGCACAATTTACCCTTATCTTGTGAAGGTAGAGAGGCTATTTCCGATAGATTCTTGACTCAAGAAAAACATAAGCACAATACTCATACAAATGAAATACGTTAATGGAGAAGAAGCCGTGGAAAAGAAACAATAATAACAACAAGAAAAATAAGATAATCGAAGCAAAAAATAACAGGTAATAATAGAAAACTTAGGAAAACTCGGACAAAAAACTTATGGAAATAATAAATTTAGGCATGTGCTGAAGTAATATGGGATATTTGTTTTGTTCCTGTTAATGGAGACGTAATCTATAGCGGGATCAGAGCAAATCTATGGTTTTCTCGGATAAGTAGCTAAGACTAGTCTCCTTCTTTGTACTGATGCACAGTATGCTTCCACTGATCATACGAATGTAACACTTTAATTTGCTACCGTCATGCGTTATGTCTTTATGCATGTCATTGGTTCTTGAATTCTAAGTTTTTCATTTTTATATTGTCCATTAATATTTGGGGGAAACTAAATGTTATTTCCTTAGGGATCTCCGAACGAAAAGCCAAAATAAATTCAATGAATCATGAGTGAGATATTCAGAACAGAACTTACTAAAAAGGCACTTTCTGGAGAGTGTGGATGTTGTAGTTTTGACGTTTCTCTACTGTGGGTATGGCCAAAGGATTTTGAATAAGTGGACTTATGATTTTTCTTTTGTTAATATTTTGTGGAATATGGTACGCATTGGCTTTAATATTATGTTCAATTTAAGAATCAAAATCTCATGGTCTCACTAGTCAATTTATAAAGAGACCAGCAACGCTTACCAAGGATCATGAGTTAAATAGATAATTAATTTTTTTTAGTGAATTTGGTTAATAATTGAGCAATTTTAAGTTAATCGAAAAATTTAAATTCTAGTCTTGAAACTTAAAAGATAATTTCATATACTAAAAGTTAGTAAACGAGAAAGTAATGTTATCAAGTGCCTCATTAAGTAAGAAGAGACATACGACCCGTTTGTCCAGAGATATTTTTTCATTTTTTTCGATTTTTTTCAAAAGCGTGTTTTCCCAACTCATAAAACTGCAACGTTTTTTCAAGTGAAATGCATATTCAAATATAATTTCAATTTTCTAATATCATTTTCCAACGTAACTCCAAACACTATTTTTTTTTTCAAAAATTACAATTTTCATGTCCAAATGCCTACCTAATCTCACTTACTATACATTATTGTAAATGTAGGTTAATCACTCTTAAAAGTTTCAGCAATCCAACAATTAAAAACTTCAGAGGCATTTCATTAAAAAAGCGAATAACGAGAAGAGTATAAACTATTGTATTTGATTAATGAACTTAAAATAATACTAGTAATTTTGGAGTTTACTTATGCTTGATGTGATAGTGGGGAGCCAATGATTCTTATGATATTCTATTTTCGTAGACTGATTTAATAATAGCCTACAGACTTACAATACTCTAATAAGAGTGGCATAGCTTGTATACACTATTCACAAACATAAATTGATAGCAACATATTATAGTTTTAGACATTAGAGTTTAGATAATCTATAGAGACAGAAAGCAGTCTCATTAATTTGGTCCAAAGAAAGTAAAATTTGCAAACTCACTCTTTCCTTCTTTATATGTAGCTCGCTTTATTTCTTTTTCTACTTTTCCTACTCTCACGTTCTTTTATCACTTTATAATTACATTTATGTGGAACCATTTTTTTTCTTTTTAGCTTTAGACAGTGTTCCTAAAGGAAATTTGAGGAGGACTTTTACAAAGATAAGGAAAAAGAAGCAAGTCAAAACTTTGAGGCAATTGAGCCAACCTGACTAACCCCTTCAAAAGGAAAAAGAAAGGGTAAAGCTTTAAGGCCCGTTTGTCCACAATTTTTTCTTCTTTTTTCAAATTATATATATTTTTAAAAATATTTTATCCATGAAATTTTACATGATTTGAAATTTTTTAGAAAATGAGTTTTTCAAAAGACCACTTTTTCAACATTTTCAGGAATTTTTTTTCCCTACTCACAATACTATAATATTTTTTCAAGTGAAATATATGTCAAAATATAATTTCAAATTCCAAATATAATTTTTCAACTTAACTCCAAATACTATTTCTTTCAAAAATTATAATTTTATGTCCAAACGCGTACTAACAGCTTGTTTGGATGTATCGTATTGTTACTTTAAATACAATGTTTGTTTTGATTGTTATTTAAATTTTATTGTATCGTATTGTATCGTTAAATTCGTCATTACATAACGACGAAATGTGTCACTTTATGTAATGACCGATTTGGTGTGGTCGCTTCGTTACTTTGTCTCTTTCTCTCAATCTCGCCCTTCATTATTATTAAATAATTTTATTTTATCGTTTACCTTACTTTTTTATATAATAATTTTACCATGCATTAATTTTTCTTTAAGTTTATTCTTTATATTGCGGATGCGTAATATCATGAAATGATAACAAACGACACAATCTATCTAAATATTATATTTATCAAATGATACATTACAATATAATATTATGAAATAATAAGTAACAACCATCCAATGAACAAGCTGTGAGACTCGCAACGAGCGTGCCCACACTTTGGTCCTTATATTTTAACAAAGCAAAGAAGCCAATGTCTTTGTCTATCGGTCAGAAGTAAATAATATTATCACAGATTGACAACGAAAGAAAAGAAAAAGTTGGAGTGTCCCTCACAAGAAAAACAAAGGCAGCATTGCTTATATCGTCCCCTTTTTATGAGTCTTTTCTTGTTGGAAGTTTCTCGTCACTATCCTCCTCTGAGAGCTTCTCTGCCCCAAAATCCGTTCAATCTCTTTTACTCCCTTTTTCCTTCTTTTAGTTTGTCTCTTGCTATACCCTGATTTTCAGCTCTGTAAAAAGGACTGTTTTTATTGGTACTCTTTGAGTTTAAAAAAGACATATACTGCATATGAGATATGGATATTAGAATTTTAAGCAAGTTAATATATATTTTTTGCTGGGAACCATCCAGTTTCTAAATTCGGATGTGTGGGTGGGATTCTATTAAGGAACGGAATAAAAACTGTAGAGGATAGGAGAGGGCATCAACCTTGCTCCTAGATGCAAGTTAATTCAAAGTAACACAAAGCCTATTATTTTTTAATAACAATTAGTGTAAACTTCGTATAAATATACATATTTGTGAAATTTTCTGTAATTGAAAAACGAGTATCCTAAGGGTTATTCGTTCACAGTCAAATAATGCGAGAAATATAACATAAGATTGTTATCGTAATAAACAACATATGGCGTGAAGATAATAATGATTTTTAAACATTACCAATTGCATAATGGTTGTTAATAGTTAATATACATTATTCTATTCAATATTCATTCCTATATATAAAAAAAATGCTTTCATAATCACAGAAAAAAATGTATTTGAAGTTACAGTTAAAAAAGAGTATTTTGAATTTGAATGTAAAGTTTTATGTGAGAATTTAATGTTCTTATACACCAAACTAAACAACCCCTTAGGCCATCTCCAACCCTTACCTTTCTTACCTCCATTTTCTCATCCAAAATACAGTAATCTCCAAAATGCATGAAAGTTACACCAATCATTACTCTATTTTTACTTCAAAAAAAATATATTTTATTTTATATTCTTCTCTCTTCAATATTATATTATTATCTTTTATGTAAATTTTATTTTCTTATGTCTATTAATTCAATCTATCTTTTTTTTTTTTTTTACATATTCATCATATATAATTTAATATAAAATTATTTTATAAAATAAATTTTTAAATAATATATGTTATTTACCGTAGTTACAATTTTTATGTATTTTCAATTTATACTTTTCAATTTTAGCAACATCTAATATTTTATATTAACCAAAGTTAAGATATAAAATTAATATTATAAAGATATTACATAAAAATAATTAGGTATATATAAAAGAGATAAATTAAAAAAATTAAATAATAAAAATAATAATAAAATATACATGAATAATAATGGGAGAAATGATCAGTATCTCATATTTGGAGGAACTCTATTCATCCCAGTCTTAAAGACAAAAATGGAGAAGTGTTGAGCTCCATATGGCAAAAATTGCCCCACCATGGAGAAGTGGGGAAGGTTGGTGATGGGCTCAAGCTATTGAAAAAGTTACGGTCATTAATATCTATAGTGTAGGCTTGGAATTACTAGTCTACAACACTTAATTTTATATTGGTAAAATAAAAATTATAGTACTACCATTAGGGGAGGACGAGACCTTTAGGCTTATAGTAGGGAACGTTGGGGAATCTTTATCTGATAAGAAAAAGGCTGTCAAATATGAAGTGTGAAGTTTATTGGATGCAACCAAATATCCTGTTAGGGCTCGTTTGGTTGGAATACGATTTATATCGGTATAAGTTATATTGTGATAAGTTATGCTAAAATTATTGTTTATTCACTGTTTGGTATATTGTATTAAGCATGACAATTTTATAATTTCTAAGAAGAATGTATAAGTTATAACGGTGCTAATTACCCCACTATCTATAAGGTATAAGTTATTCCGGTATTAAAATTAACACTGTGATAACTTATATCTGATTTGCTAACCAAATAGAATATTAAAGTAGTATTAAATTTTTATATCACCCCTATACCTTCTTATACCTCGTACCAAATGACTCTTGCTACGTTAAATTAACCTCTAGTCCGTAGTCTGTATATATGCAGAAGCATACGAATTACTTATTACTCTTCTATTTTTTAATATTTAAATCAACTGAAACTGTGCCTCTCACATGAGGATGACTCTAATTCTCCTCCGAAAAATATTATTTGTATCTCATATAACTTATATTAATTGTATAAGATTTTTTTTGTGTTATAAATTTATGGACCGAGTTAGAAAAATTGCCTCGTATTAAAATTTTCCTTCCCCTCTCTATATAAAACGATGAAACCAACAAAGGTCTTTGCATTATTCCTCACTCCTCAGTCTTTCCTCCCTCTCAAAAAGTAGTGAAGTTTACATCAACTCTTTGCTTTCACAGCCTAAAATCCATTTCGAAAGCTGCCTTTATTTATAGCCCCACGTTTTCACTCTCTTTGCCCATTCTGATCTCACATTTTCACCATTCTCACTTGTTGAAATCAATGGAAGCTTTTAACCTACTCAAATTCTGGCGAAATACCAGCACCGATACTGCTGCTGATGATCGGGACATTGTCTCTGAACTCGATGATTTGGACTACGTACGCAACCCGGCGATTGAAACTGATGAAGAAACCGATGACGATGAGGACTCCTTCTTCGAGTTGGTGTTTACTGGACCAGATAGACGCCCCAAAGTAGACAACAACAACCCAAAGTGCATTTCTGTTAACAGTCCCCGCAACCCTGAATCCCCCAGAGACGTTTTCTTTAAACAAAAACCCTTTGCAATCGACTCCAACTCAAAGCCTCAATCTCCGATTTGGATCCTCAAATCAGCCCCCAAGTTTCGGGTCTTCTTATTGGGCTTCAGGAAGTCTAAGCCGGAGAAAGTGGGCATTGACGATTCAGCTACGGCAAGCCCAAAGATTCAGAGCAAACGCTTTACGGCGAAATGCAAAGCGGAAGAGGTTCCGGTTCCAATGAGCCCTGTTTTTACAAGAGACAACAGTTTAAGGAGCAAACTGCAGAAAGAGAAAGAAGAAGATTTGTCAGTTGACGAATCGTTGAAGAAGTTTATAAGAGCTGATGTGCCCAAGTATTTGAAATTGATGAAGCCTTTGTACGCCAGAGCTTCAAAAAGGTACACCGAAAAAATTGGAGTATCGCCATTGTCTTCTCCGTCGACGCAATCAATGTGCTCCTCACCCAGAAAAGCATCAGAGGAGGGAAAACAGGGGAACCGAGTTGCTGCATTTGGAGCTGTTCGTAAGCACCTAGGTAAAAGCCGGTCTGCGGCGTCTACATTTGCCGGAGCTTCACCGTCGCCGATGAACCGGAGAGACGATTCACTTCTGCAGGAGCAAAATGATGGAATCCAAGGCGCTATTCTTCATTGCAAGAGATCTTACAGCTCAGTTGCAAAAGGTACATATTATGTCCATAAAGTTTTCTATAGTGCACTTAAGTCCTTAATTTTTTCAAATTGTGTTTGGTTACTTTAGATTTGACTAATAGTAATTCTAAACTTTACAGACTGTTCGATGTTATTACCAAGATCTGGAAGTGAAGATCTGCCAAGAGCCTCTTGGGAGGAACTGAACAGATGGAGTATCTGAATAGTAGTAATATTTTGAAAGTGTAAAGATAGCGGGAATAGGAAACTAAAGGCTTTGTTCTATTCCCTTTGCTCTGCTATCATTAACTATTTTTGTTTGCATCAGTAGTATTCAGTACAAGTAGTGTTGAAAATAGAGGAAATAGGAGAGTAGTAGTAGGATATTAGAGGAGCAGTGGCTCTGAGACGTCACATGAGAACGTCCGTCCAAGTAATGAATAGTGTTTTGGTTTATATAAAGTGACTGTAAAAGTATCTCAAATGGAAATCAGGAGATATGATTTTGTAAAGATCCACATCTTTTAAGTGTGCCTCTTCTTTCTGAGGCTTTCTGTCAAGTGTAAATTTTCAAGTTTTGTTATTATGTTTTTACGGAATCAATGTTATCATCAATGTCACTGACGTTCCAACGTTACAGCTGCTGCGAGCTGGACTGCGCATGACTTGCCTTGTGTTCTTGTTTTCTCCAGTTTAATGATTCACTTGTAGGGTGTAGCTAGAAATGGAGTGCTCCGTCTCCTTTATCTGTGAGTCAGACAAACAAGTTAGACTCATATAACTACACTCAATTTAATTCTTTCTAATACGTCCTTAATTGTTTTTTTCCCGGCTAAAGATAACTTGTTTAGCAATGCCTCCAAGGGCAGAAGTAAGAACAATATAAAATAGAAAGTAAAGTTATTTTATTTAGCTTAAAAATAGAATGTAGCATAAGTTTTGCCAAATATTTCCTTTTCCTACAATGTCTGTTGAGAATGCTATTTATAGCTAAACCTAGTGAAACATGATCCTAAGATCGAGCCCTCTTAAATGACAATAAAGAGGTCCATTAATGAATATGTAAAGATATGCTATGAATGCAAATATTCTCTGAAACAGCTGCCCATTTAATGCCTGAAAATATTCTTCATTAAATACTTTTCGATGACAAATATTTAATTCTGCTCACATTGATCATGTTCCCCTTGGGGTCAGCCTGATGTTGTCACTTGCAGCTATTTTTTCCCGTCCCACTTACTACGCAATTTATTTTATACCTGTCTTCCATTCCACGTGTCACGCTATCGTTCGAGTATTAATATAAATCAATTTTACCCTATACAGATAGTCCCCCTGTTTTCCAGTGGCATATCTTTGTGTTATTACGAAGTTGGTGAAGATTTCTTTCTTAGCAGAAAAACTTCTGAAATCCTTGTGAACAGTCTCTGACACTTGAAAGGACGCATGTCTTCTCGTATTTATTTCCCTAAACACGTGTTGCCCCACGATTTCGCAATATTTTTGTCACTTATTGAGGTAATCATGACCGTAATTTTTGTCGTCTATATCTTTACTTATACTCATTATTTTACCACTTTCACTTCTAAAACTTTTACAAGTTCGTTATCTTCTTTGCATTTATCCTTCTTCTCTTCTGCTCTCATCTCGTTCCGACTTTCTTCAAAATGTCCATCACTATTTTGCTAACATGGCTTCTTTTACCGAGTCTTTCAAAACCTCTAGTCTTTTCTTCGGTGGGAGCCCGAAGAGAAGCAAATATAAAGAGGTGGATGCCGATACTGATCCTCCTACGGTAAGCACCATTATCCCTAAATATCTGAACACCGTCAACGACTTCCAAGAGAAGTTTCCCTCCGCATCTTCGCGGACTTGGCCATTAGCAGGTATACTTTCTCTATCTGCCCTTCTTATATTCTTACTGTGAAGGAAGACTGTAACTGCTCGGACCTTAACGTCATTTCTCCTTACCTGATAGAGCAGGTTACCTTCACCAAGGAAGATTTTACGTATGTCTATACATATCCTTTCACTTTGGGCCCATTTTCTTTGAGCAGGGGGTTGACCCTGTAGTCTTGGAATTCTACCATCGGTACTAGGTTTGCTTGGCACAAAGTAGGACCCTAAATATGGCAAATGCTGGTTTGCCTACGTCGGTTATGCATCGAGACTGGGAAAACCCTAACTCTAGCGCATATGATGAATCTTTACTCCCCAAAGATTTTCCGTGGGGGAGTAATCAATTTTAGCAAACGTGGCCACCACGCTCTTCTCACAAGTGTGGATGATGACAATAACCCTAGGTGGATGGAGCAGTTTGTTATCATTGCTACCAAGGGTATCCGGCCATAACTCCATCTTTCTGAATTGTGGAATCATTCACGTAAGTTTGTAATTCATTCGCCCTTTTTCTTTGTAAAAAGACCGTCTCCCGACGTTGTTGACCTTTTTGTCTCAGTTGTTGCAGCTACTCAGTGGACACCTCAAGGGTTCAAGGACTTGACCGATGGGTTCAGAGGATTCTGGTTATCATAATCCAAAAACTCGTCGGTGGAAGGAGATGGCCCCAAAATATGAGTGGAAGGCCAAGCACCACGGTAAACTGAGTTCTTTTTTCTTGTGTCTCTTTCTTTCTTATGTCTTTTACATGAGTGGATTTGCTAACTAAATCTTTTGCTTGTTTCAGGTCTCCCACATGGCTCTGTCACTTGCCCCCAAGTGGACGTTTTGGCTGACCGCGTGGAGGCTGCAAAAGTACTACAAAGTGCCCTCGTTTGAAGCGGTGTATGTAGTCCATTTAATGTTATTGTTATTTTTTCTTCGTATTTGACATTATTGAGTGGTAATATATTGCCAATACGAAGGATTCTTATGAAACTGATTTTGTTAAACCTTCATACATATTTTTAATAAGAATCTAATAGATAAAATTTTATTAATTTTAAAATCTTAAATATTAAAATTAGCATTGAAGGTATTGTAGTCCAAAAAATAGGTTATTGCAGTTACATTATTTTCCTACATGTTTACCTTGAAAATGGTAATTACAATTAGATTTGATTTTGTGATTCTAACAATACGTAATTTATCTTAATGCTAGTTGTTAGGAAATAAATACTGAGTGTGAGACTAGAAAATAAGATAAGATCTTGAAAATAGTATGTTATGCAAACAGAGTGGCCAAGAGACGGGGTCTCGAGCCAGCCTATACTGGGCCTCGAGGTCGAGCTAAAGTTTTAGGCTGTGGATAGCCGATGAAGGCCTAACAACTCTAAAAGCTTTGATGAGTGCTCTTTATGATCAGTGATGAGTAATAAATGAAGAACAATCAATGAAATACAATGAATGTAAGCAATAAATCAAAGGAGAGATAGTGGAGAATGTTTAAGTTAGAGAGCAAAGAATGTTCTTATTCTTGTATTGAATATCATGTGTGCAAGAAATAGCAAGGGTCCCCTTTATATAGGAGGGGGATCCCAAAATAGTACATATGCATTTATTACAAAGATAAACGGCTGGTACAACCATTTAATGCCACGGTACAGACTTGTACTATTCTTATAGACTTGGTCAGCTCTAACCACTTGCCTTGGGAATCTCCTACTCATTCATCATAGCCGCCGATTTGCTCTGCCCGGAGGTCAGACATAGGGAACCCTTGGGGTCGAGGCTCGAACTGTGCTTCAGGCCTCCTAAAGACGAGCTATGGGATGTCATAATAATCATAAAATCGGGCTCTCCGATTTTAGCCATATACAGATAGTCCTCGCGTTTTTTAGAATGGAATGATATGAAACGACTTTAACATCGTTCTCCTCGAGCTTCTCACGATGACGTCATGCTTATAAGTAAGCTTTTGTGATGATTGAGACGTCCCATCGGTTCATCTTTCCAGAAACATTCAATGCACCGCTGATTTATTTTTCCAAAAGCGATGTTATCGCCTCCGATCCGTTTCCCAAAAAGCATTGATCGCGCCTGTCGATACATTTCCAAAGGCGTTGATTGTGTCATCAGTTACGTTACTGCCTTTCTATAAATGAAAGCTTACTTGAACCAAAATTCCACCCAACCTTACTTCAACAGCCTTTAACCATTTTCTTCTCTTCATCCTCATCCAAACTCTAACTTCCATGGTTCAAGCCGGTGACCGTAAGTTCACATGGCAACGGTTTTGCCAGTTATGTCATGGTTCTTTTTCAGAGCTTTTTCCCACTGAGTGGGATCATTCTGGTTTTTTGTTGTTGTTGTTGTTGTTGTTGGTGGCCCGAAATAACGAGAGAGGGGCTTCATATTATTCCCGTATTAGAGGATATGTGGACCATGAACTGCTGCTTACCTCTCTTAACTTCAACCTGGTGTGGCGCTTCACTCCTTTTGCTTTTTATGGAGTGAAGTGGTGCCATCTACTAACTTTTGCATCCCGCACCATTACAATGTCTCAGGAAGTGGCTTCCCAATAGTAGTGCTGGCGAGTCCCACAATCGCCAAATTTTTCACCAAGCCACAATTTTCCCTGCCTATTAAAAGCTTTGGCTCTTTGATAGGCTACAACCTCTTCCTCATCTATTGCTTCTTCGGAGGAGATTCTCAAAGACGTCGTTCGGAAGATCGAAATGAAGTTCATTCTCGTAGATGTCGCTCCCGTGAATGTACCTCCGAGAGTAGATTAGGATTTTAGAATGTTGTTTTCTGCTTCTTTGTTTCTATGTAAGGACCCCTCATGGGCTTTTGTAACCGTCTTTTATCAATATAAAAGTTGCTTTGATTTGCCTTTGGCTTGTGCTGGACTTTTATTTTGCTTTTGATTGGCCCGAACACTGGAACCGGACATTGTAATCCCTCTGGTTCTTGATTAGTTAATATGATATTTCTTGAGATTCTTTGTCACCCCTTGGACTAAGTCTGGATTGATCTGGTACAAACTTAGGCCGGCGGGACTTCTGAGTTCGAGTTGAGCGAGAGCAGGGTTCCGATTTTCTTTGAAATAGGGGTTAGCCCATTTAGTTCTTGTCGCTAATCCTCGAGTGAGAGTTTGCTCGAACTCGGGCAGCCTCGAAAACTCGATTTCAACTTAAAATGAAGATAGCTGTAAGGCGTTATAGATGGCCCATAAGCGAGGATACACTTGAACTCGGATGGCCCCTGAGCGAGGATGCACTCGAACTCGGATGGCCCCTGGGCTAAAGTAACTGAGAGAGCATTTAAATTGATCAGAACGCGAAGATAACCCTAAGTCTTTATTAATAATTCTCGAGTGAGAACTGACTCGGGCTTAGGTAGCCCGAGGGCCAAAGAATCGGGTTAATTACCCGCACTTGTAATAGCAGAGATCCTCGAGATAGGGTAACATTTTGAGGTTGTTTGACTTCTATCGAAGATATCGAGTTACCCTAGCATAGGTTCACCAGTCGTTCTGGAGGATAATATTGATGATGAGGTTCTTTGTGGAGGAAGCTGGGCTTAAGTTCACCCTTAGCCATCTCATCAGATTGTACTGGCCCTTTCATTACCGAGGCCTGATAGCTTTACGATGTCTATCCACCAGGCCCTTT